GTAGATAAGATGACCAGTGGTAGTACTTTTACCAGAATCGACGTGACCGATAACGACAATATTAATATGAGTCTTTTCCTTTGGCATTTAGAAGAGGGAGAATGAAAGAAGAGAGAAGTTCAGTGTTTAAATACGCAAGGGGTTTTATTAGGGTTAGGGTGATGATTATTTTCTTTTCATTAAGTTTTAAACAAATTAATCTGAAAAGAAGAAAAGGCAAATTATAAAAAAAAAATAATAATTAAAATATTATTTTAGTTAATATACTTTTATTAATTAATTCATTATATTCCTCATCATTCATGTTTTTTCATTAACATAATGATTCTAAATTTTATTATTAATTTTAATTTTATTATCTTTATTCAAAAATTTACTTTTAAATTATTGAACAAAGATAAAAAAGAAGGAAATAAAAAGTGACTAAAAACAATGAAAAAAAAATAAATATTCTTGTTATATTGATAATTGAAAGTATCATAAAATAATGAAGAAATAAAAAGAAAAATATTAAAAAAGAATTTCATTTAAGTTTTAATAAATAAGTTTATTAGTTTATATTATACAAATAATGAAGATTAGATATTTCTATTGAAATATACAGATTTGAGTCAATACATTTATGTATAATTAATTATTGGTTATATCAATTATATGAAATTTATTGTTCTTATACAATAAAGTAATAGTATTTATTATTTTCTTTTAATGGTTGAATGAACTTAATTTTTTGTTTCTTATTTAACAATAAAACTATTTAAAGTAATGAATTGTTATTAAATTTTTAATGAAATTCTTTGATTTTTAAGATTTCTTTTTAACAAGTAAACAAGTTTTTTTATGTGCTTTCATTTTAATTTTTGAATCAATATGAATTGAAGGTTTCAAGTCAAAAACATCAGACAAACATTAAAATAAATATAAAATAATTTTCTAAGTTTAGAGTTATTATCCTGTTAAGAAGTTGTCTTTTCTTTAGAAAATGATTAGTCAAAAGTACAAAGAATGAAATGAATTAATATGATTGAATCTTATTTATTATAATATCTTAACATAGTATTTATTAAGATGATAATGTTATTTATTTGTAATAGAAGATTTAAGATTTATTAAGATGACATTAAACATCTCTATGGAATATTATCAAAAGAAAAGAATCTATTGAGTGTGGTTAAGATTAAATGAAATTAGTCATAGTAATATAATGGTAATCGTTTATTTATTACAAAATAAGAAAATAAAGAAAGGTAAGATGATGTTCTTTCAAATTAAAACAAAAATTAGTTAAATAATTAAATGAAGAGTACGTAAATTGAAAGAAGTTTTAAAAGACAATAATTCAATAGAAATAAAGAAATGAAGAATAGAAATTAACATTTTTTATTATGATGAAATATTAAAGAATAAGAGAATAATTGATGAATAAACAATATTAAATCACAAAGATATGATTAATATCTGGTGAGCAAAAGATAAAAGAAAATAAAAGTATTACCACTTAATTAACATTTTTTGATTTAAATTTGTGTTATATCCACAGTAATATTTTTATTTTCTAAACTTCTTGTATATATTGTTTTTAATAAGAATGAAATGGTAATTGATTTATTTGTTCTTTTATTTTAATAATAATTCTATTATTCTTTTAATTTCATTTAATTGAGAGACAGTTAAAAGTATTGTTTTTGTTTAAAACCAGAATCAAAAGTAGTTAAAAAGAATAGTGTAATAAGAGAAAATAAACAAACACAAAAGAAATCCATTAAATTATATTAAGAAGGAAATAAAATTGAAACAATAAAAATAAGAGAATAATAGTAAATAAATAATAAATAATAATAATAATAATAAGA